GTCCCGATCATCTTGGCAGGGGATTTCAATGCTACTCCCGATCGCTGGCTTGACCGCTGGCAGGTCCCCCCGCGCCAGACGGAGGAAGATGAGGCTATGCTCAATCGGCTATGCAATTCGCTCTCCCTTTTTGACTCCTTCTGAAGCACATTCCCCACGGAGCGCGTTTTCACATGCATTCGAAATACTAACCCCTCCAGGCTCTCCAGATCAAGAATCGACTTGATTCTGATATCGGAAGATATGGATGGAAGTCTAACGCTGGCGGACATCCTTCCATCTAGCCTGTACCCGGGTCTGGACCACAAAATGTGTATGATATCACTAACCTTCCGGAAGAGGCCGGACCAAGGACCGGGCTTTTACAAATTAAACACCTCACTGCTCCAACTCGCCTCATTTCGGCAGTACTTAACACAAGTTTGGGCATGTTGGAAAGACCGACGCTCGGAAATGGACTCGGCTGTAACATGGTTCAACAACGGCCTATTTTTCGTGACCAAGAAGTGCAACGAATTTTCTAAGCAAATTGCAAATCAACGTCACCTACAAGAAGAAGCAACTCCAAGAGCTGGAACAGCAACACAATCCACAATTAGTGGAACAGTACACACAGGCTATCCAAGACGTTAAAAACAGATTACTCCACCAGGCCCAATACCGTTGGCAAGGAGCCAGAATCCGAGGCAAACTTTCCCAGCATGCAACTGAAGGCACGATGGATACAAAATTCTTTGGTCTCACCCGAGCTAGGACCAAGCACACAATCGTGGAAGCCCTGTACGACCCGACGAGGCCTGGCGACGGCGGGCTGTGTTAAAATTGCCCGATACTTTTTCAAAGATCTTTTTGCAACCCACATACCGCTCGCTAATGAGAACACTCGCTGCCACCAAATAGAGGAATTCCTTCTACCATTAAATAAAACCCTCTCTCGGGAACAAAGGGAAAGCCTCGAGGCACCCATAACCAAAGATGAGATTTTGACAGCATTGATGCAGATGGAAGAGGAGAAAACGTCGGGTCTAGATGGCCTACCAAAGGAGTTTTGGGAGACAATGTGGGACCATATGAGCCCAGACCTCATGAACTTCTACGAGGAGGTATGGTGCACGGGTAGCATGGGGGAATTGGTGGGCCAGGGGGCCCTGCCCCTCCTCTATAAGAAGGGTGACAAACTCAACATACGGAACTATCGTCCGATTACCCTCCTCACTGTCGCATACAAGATGTTGGCTAAGGCCTTGGCCAACAGAATGAAAGGGTTAATCCACCCATCCCAAACGGGATTCATGCAACATAGGTGGATTCATGAGAACATCCTGTTGGTCCATGAGAGCATGCATCTAGCTCGTCAGTCTAAGCAAAACGCGGCGCTCGTGTTCACTGACTTCGAAAAAGCCTATGACCATGTGGACTGGCTATTTCTAGATAAAAGTTTGGAGAAAATGAACTTTGGGCCGACATTTCGCCGATGGGTAAGGATTTTACACCAAAATGTCACCACGAGGATACAAATAAATGGGTTACTAGCACCCCCCATCGAAATAGACAGATCTGTGAGGCAGGACGATCCCATTGCACCCTTTCTCTTTCTCATCATCATGGAGGCTTTGTCTGCCAATATTCGTACCAATAAGGACATCACCAAAATAAAGATAGCGCGGATCCCTGAAGAAGCCGTCCCAGTGTGCTCACTTTTTGCAGACGACCTCACCATCATGGTTGAAGCCAAACGACACAGTATGGAGGAAATAAAACAACTTATGGATAGATTCACGCAGGTGTCTGATATGGTGGTGAATTGGGGAAGTAAAACCCAAGGATGGTGGATCCACCATCAAGGGGGGCGTCCTCTTGGCGCCCCCAACATACGGTGGCGTCCTTTAGAGGTCCCAATCCGCATTCTAGGTATCTCCATGTCCGCCATGGGGCGCCCTCCACCTAATGATGACTGGGTCAGCGCACCAACCTTGGCTAAGTTATCTGCCCGGCGAAATAAGCACACTTCGATTTTCGATCGGGCTTTAGCCATAAATAACGTAGTATTTGCTTCACTGTGGTATAAATCAGTGCTCTGGCCTTTGAGCAAGGCTGCATTTCGAGCCCTTAGAGCTAAGGTTGCTGCTTTCTTGTGGCGAGGCGATGATGAACGGGCAAATGTAGTTAGCAGGGTGGAGTGGGACTGAGTGATACAGCAAAGAAGGAGGGAGGATTGGGTATTATTGACCCTCCAACACAAGTGCAGGCCCTCCGTTTACAGTGGATAAAACAACTGATCTTCCCGGTCGACGCCCCTTGGCAGCCCCTAGCTTTGGAGCATATATAGCCCAACTAGCACCATCAGTGCCCGTAGAAGTACACCCGCTTACATGTCTGGAGGATCATTACTGGTCAATCCCACGCAAAGTTCAAGGACAACCATTAGAAAGCTTCTGGCCGACACTCCTCAACAGCTGGCGACGGCTCCCCTTACCCGAAAAAGAGACCCCCAGTCGCTGGGAGGAGGTGTGTCGACAACCCCTTTTTGGGAATCGGTGGATCACACCCCACAATGGGCAGATTTTATGCAGTTCGGTGGCACCATGGAAAAGTTGGCTTAAGCAGGGGGTGCTTCGTGTAAGCCAGTTATGGGATCAATAGAAGAGCGACTGGAGGACCTCCTCCCAGATGCGGGACACCCTTCGGTACTGCCACCATGTAGACAGACACATGGACACAATCATTGAAGCTATCCCTCTCTCATGGTACAAAATTCTCAAATGAGGGCCTACGCTAATGGAAGGGGATTGGGTAGGCTTCCCGAATGATTTAAACAAAATAGGGAGACTCCACATGATAAGGGCACCGGACGTACTGGTAGAGTATTACACCATAGGCCCAAGGAACGAACTGAGGGGATCCCACAATCCATTTGAGTGGCAAGACAAAACAAAAGTCCGAGTACGTGTATTGGAAGATAAAGAGGGCCTCTTTGTCTTCCAACCTCGAACATCCATTCAGAATTTACCTCTGGACCCGCAGGAATGGAAATGGAGGTCCGCAGGGAGGGTGGGCCCCGTGCCAGGAAGGATAACTCATCTCCATGGCCTGACAGTCAAGGCCACATATAGAAAGCTCAGGCCTAAACGACCACTGTGAGATCGGATAAATGACAGATGGGCCCGACACGGTCACTCGTCACACCAATTAGATGGTTTAGCGACAGCAAGGTGGGACCAACTAAAATCACCTCTTTACAATGGCAGATTGCTCATCGCTGCCTCCCCACCAATGCCTGGCTGATTGACCACACAGGCCTGGAACAGAAGGGAATTGCGCTGCCGTGGTGCCAGAGATGCTTAAACGCTTTCCCTTCACGAAAGTGGAATGAGACCATTGAACATATTTTCATGTAGTGCCCAGTAGCTGTACTGACATGGCGTTGGTGGGATCGAATATGGCAAAAAATGATGCCAGATGTATCCTGGCCATGGACGTGGCAAGCGATCTTGACCGGTCACTTCCCAATGATCGCTAACCTCTCCAACTACACAGAAAACTGGTATAGGCTAGGTCGACAATCGGTCCTTTGGGGCTTTTGGTGGCAGCGCTGCTTGCTTAGTCTTGAAGGGGTCAGAGCAGAAGGTACAGAACTCACAGAACGAATCAAGGAACAGATCCAGTTACAACTGATGAACAGGTGGAATACACTTAAGGCCCAAGTAGACAGGTTTCAGACTGCGCAGGACATCAAACGAGCTCTCACCAGCTTCTGCAAGGAGTGGCTGGGAGGAGAGCGTGGGGGGTGGATTGCTCAGGTGTACTTGGGAGGGGATCATGCCAATCTGTCAGCACAGGAGCCCCCTAGGGACTATTGCCTCACCTTTAATGACTGGACTAACATCGAGCCGTCTTTCCCTCTGAGATCCCCGTCTGACTTCCCGGACCCCTTTCCTCCTCACCCTCTTTCTCTAATGGAGGTCCTGGAATAATCACAGTGCTGTTCATCAGGTGAAGGCCTGCCCCGGCCACCGGCCCACTCAAGATCATCAGGCTTATGGACATAGAAATAGAAAGAGTGTCTCCACGAGGCGGGCAGTTATGACAAGTTTGAAAAGAGGGGATGTTAGTGGTTGGCGGAGGGAGCACCAGTTTTTCGTAGCACTTTGTTACTCCCCCTTTCTTAGCTCCTTCTGTACATTTTGGTCAGGAAAAGGGTTTGACACTAGTAGCACCAGGTCAGACGCTCTCCAGAGACTTTCCAAAAAAAGCTTCTCAGTAGCAGGTATTTTGGTGTCCAGTTCTCAGCAACCTGCACAGTCAATCCTCTGGACGCCAGAGTAATCAATGCTGGCAGGTTTTTCTCAACCTTTTGTCTCAGTATTTTCTTGATTCATTCTGTATATGGGACGCTAGACCCGTTTTCCAGCTGGTGACGCTCCCCACCAATAGATGGAGCCCCTCCCCGGGTGCTAGTGGTACCTGCTTTTATCAGTACCGCTAACACTGCAGATGGTGCCCATTAACAAGCCACAATTTTCGGAACGTACAGGCTACTACAGGAGCGCCCAAATTCATCCGACTAGAAACGTTTCTAGTACTTTGTACTCTATTCTTTCCACGGCCGATAGTTGGGCCAAGTACTGGTGGTTCAAATTGACCAGTAAAGGGGGAAGGGTGTCATAACAAGCGGACCGTCTAGGGGTTGCGGGTTCCCCCCTCACTACCAGAGATTCGTCTTTCTCTCATGCTTTCTGGTGATAAGCTACAAGACTGGTGGACCCCCAGAATAGAAGAGGCTGTATTGTTGCGTTAAACAAAGGGCAAAAGGGAAAAAGAAATGTACATTCACTAGTTCCTCCCTTGCCTGAAGAAAACAAGGAAGAAAAAAAAAAAAAAAAAAAAAAAAAAAAAAACAGGAAGAAGAAGGAAAGAACCCAGAGAAAGCAAAAAAGACGACACGAGAGGCCTTCAAGGGATGTACAAGGAGGAGAGAAGATAGCAAGCATAGAGGGCGCAACGTAATTAGTCGGAAATGGTGACCAAGGGCAGCAGAGCAAAGGGGCTCAGAAAATTACAGGGGTGAGAAGCATGGGGGGAAGTCAACCCTGACAGAACATACACAGTGAGAACAGTCAAAGTACTACGTATAGTATGCATGACAAACTTGCGGGCCTGCGTCTGGCGGTCCCGGACACTCTGGCTAAAAATTCAAATCTATTGAGTCTTGAGTCTTGACCATTGAAAATTCAAATCCCACTTTTTTTTTTTTTGAAATCCTATGGGACACAATCATGTTAAAACTAAAAAATTAAAATTTGTGAAAAGGCTAAAAATGGGAGAAACTTGCCTTCCCAGGCCTATATCTTCTAGATCCTTCCTGATTTGGAAATAAACTGTCAGCTGCGATGCAGGTCAGTAAGTTGCAGAGAGGAAACGTCACCAAAAGACAAAAAACTAGTCAGGTTGCTTGCCGGCGATAAGCAACTGGACGGATGCCGC